TTTTTTTTTTTTTTTTTTTTTTTTTTTTTTTTTTTTTTGAGACAGAGTCTCGCGCTGTCGCCCAGGCTGGAGTACAGTGGCCGGATCTCAGCTCACTGCAAGCTCCGCCTCCCGGGTTTACGTCATTCTCCTGCCTCAGCCTCCCGAGTCGCAGGGACTACAGGCGCCCGCCACTTCGCCCGGCTATTTTTTTGTATTTTTTAGTAGAGACGGGGTTTCACCATGTTAGCCAGGATGGTCTCGATGTCCTGACCTCGTGATCCGCCCGTCTCGGCCTCCCAAAGTGCAGGGATTACCCGCTTGAGCCACCGCGCCCGGCCATTTTTTGTATTTTTAGTAGAGACAGGGTTTTGCTGTGTTAGCCAGGATGGTCTCGATCTCCTGACCTCGTGATCCACCCGCCTTGGCCTCCCAAAGTGCTGGGATTACAGGCATGGGCCACCGCACCCGGCCCTCAAGTTAAAGTCTTAAGATATTCTTGTGGAGTTTTAGGCGGGATTTTTTTTTTTTTTTCACTGTTGCTCCTAGTATGAGGGACCTTGGCCTAGACTAACACTGGTTCTATAGTACCAGGGGACACTAGAGAGAACATTGAGATTTCAGTTTGAGAATGGGTTGGAGACTACTGTATGGATGCCTGTATCCTCAACCTCCCAACCACACTAGACCTCTTTGCCTGAATAGATTTTCTGAATTTGGGCATCTGTCTTTTATTATTATTATTGTTATTATTATTATTTGAGGCAGGGTCTTACTCTGTCATCCAGGCTGGAGTGCAGTGGCACGATCACGGCTCACTACATCCTTGACCTTTTGGGCTTAAACAATCCTTCGACCTCAGCCTATTGAGTAGCTGGGACCACTGGCAAGTACCACTCACTATGCCTGGCTAATTTTTAAAAACTTTTTGGCCGGGTATGGTGGTTCATGCCTGTAATCCCAGCACTTTGGGAGGCCAAAGCGGGCAGTTCACGAGGTCTGGGGTTCGAGACCAGCCTGGTCAGCGTGGTGAAACCCTGTCTCTACTAAAAAATAATGCAAAATATTGGCCGGGCATGGTAGGGTGTGCCTGTGATCCCAGCTGCTCGGCAGGCTAAGGCAGGAGAATTGCTTGAACCCATGAGGCGGAGGTTGCAGTGAGCTGAGGTAGCGCCACTGCACTCCAGCCTGGGTGACAGAACGAGACTCCATCTCAAGGAAAAAAAAACTAATATATATTTTTTTCTGTCTTCTGTCACCCAGGCTGGAGTGCAGTGGTACAGTCACGGCTCACTGTAGTCCTGATCTCTTGGGCTTAAACAATCCTCCCAGGTTAGGCGCCCAAGTAGCTGGGACCACAGGAATGTGCTACCATCTCTGGCTAATTTAAGAAAAAGCTTTTGTTGGCTAGGTGCGGTGGCTCATGCCTGTAATCCCAGCACTTTGGGAGGCCGAGGCGGGCAGATCATGAGGTCAGGAGATCGAGACCATCCTAGCTAGCACGGTGAAACCCCGTCTCTACTAAAAATACAAAGAAAAAAAAAAATTAGCCGGGCATGGTGGCGGGCGCCTGTAGTCCCAGCCACTCAGGAGGCTGAGGCAGGAGAATGGCGTGAACCCAGGAGTCGGAGCTTGCAGTGAACCGAGATGGCGCTACTGCACTCCAGCCTGGGCGACAGAGTGAGACTCTGTCTCAATAAAAAAAAAAAAAGAAGAAAAAGCTTTTGTAAAGGCACGATCTCCCTGTATTGCCCAGGCTGGTCTCGAACTCTTAGGCTCAAGCATGCATCCTGTTTCAGCCTCCCAAAGTGCTGGGATTACAGGCATGAGCCCCTGTGCGCAGCCTCACATTTCTTTTTGTAGAGATGGGGTCTTGCTATGTTGCTCTGGCTGGTCTCAAACTCCTGAGCTCAAGTGATCCTCATACCTCAGCCTCCCAAAATACTGGAATTATAGGGATAAACCATGGCATCTGACTGGGCATCTGTCTTTTAAGGTGGAGTAGATGAAGGAGAGAGAGAGCATGGGGGTTTTATTATGTTTTTTATTTTTGGTTTGAGAGAGGGTCTCACCCTGTCACCCAGGCTGGAGTGCAATGGCGTGATCTCAGCTCACTGCAATGTCCACATCCCGGGCTCCAATGATCCTCTTGCCTCAGCCTCCCAAGTAGCTGGGACTACAGGCATGCACCACCATGCCTGCCTAATTTTTGTATTTTTTTGTAGAAACTGGGTTTTGACATGTTGCCCAGGCTGGTCTCGAACTCCTGTACTCAAGTGATCCATCCTCCTCAGCCTCCCAAAACGCTGGAATTATAGGTGTAAGCCAGTGTGCCTGGCCTTAATGTTCTGATATAATACTTAGAATGTAGGGTGCCCTCAATAAATATTACTGAAGACCCACGGGACTCCTTCAGCCAGGCTACTGGTTACTTCCTGACCCCACACTATCTGACTAACGGAGCCTGGGCCTCTTATACACAGTCTTCTTAACTCCACTTATATTCCCCACCCTTTTTTTGTTTTGAGACAGAGTCTCGCTGTGTTGCCCAGGCTGGAGTGCAGTGGCATGATCTCGGCCCACAGCAACCTCCACCTCCTGGTTTCAGGTGAGCACATCTGGCTAATTTTTGTGTTTTTAGTAGAGACAGGGTTTCACCATGTGACCAGGCTGATCCTGAACTCCTGAGCTCAAGTGATCCACCCACCTCGGCCTTCCAGTGTGCTGGGATTACAGGCATGAGCCCCTATGCCCAGCCTCCATTTATATTCCTAATCACAGTTTCCTATTCTTTTTCTTTTTTCTTTTTTTTTTGTGACAGGGTCTGGCTCTGTCTCCCAGGCTGTAGTGCAGTGGTGCACGCATGGTTCACTGCAGCCTCTACCTCCTGGGCTCAAGTGATCCTCCCACCTCAGCCTCCCAAATAGCTGGGACCACAGGTGTGTGCCACCATGCCTGGATCATTTTTTTTCTTTTAACTTTTTTATAGACAGGCTGACCCTATGTTGCTTATGCTCACCGTATGTTTCTGCTGGGCCTAAGTGATCCTCCCACCTCAGCCTCCCAAAGTGCTGAGATGACAGGCATGAGCCCTGCTCAGCCCCTCTATTTTTTGACATGTCAAGTAATGTAATGACAGGAGGTGGGATGGGGGTGTGGGAGAGGCTCTGATAACATTTATGATCTTAGGATGGAACTTCGTCGTGTCATTGCAATTATTCGTCATGGGGATCGTACTCCCAAGCAGAAGATGAAGATGGAAGTGAAACACCCAAGGTAGGAAGAGTGTCCTAATTTACACAAATAGGTTTTTGTGAGGAAGACTGCATGGGGTGCAACTCCTACAGGCTTTGACTGTCTCATCCCACACTGAAGCTTCTCATTATTTCTTCAGGTTTTTTGCTCTGTTTGAAAAACATGGTGGCTACAAGACAGGGAAATTAAAACTCAAGCGACCTGAGCAGCTCCAGGTAAGGTAGTGAATCTGGCCAGGAGGAGCAGTGCTATGAGAGAGAGAGAGAGAGAGGATATGGCATTGGGAGTCTCGATAAAAGACTAGGATCAAAAGGTAACTGTCTAGGACTTGGCCTTCTGCATGGATACCTTATTATTTCCTCTAGGAGGTGCTGGATATCACAAGGCTGTTGTTGGCTGAACTGGAGAAAGAACCAGGTGGTGAAATCGAGGAGAAGACTGGAAAACTAGAACAGCTGAAGTCTGTATTGGAGATGTGAGAAAAGGGATAGCAAAAGGGAGCCAATAACAGTGAGAGTTGGGGTGCTGGAACAGAAAATAAACTGTGACTTTATCCTGCAGGTATGGTCACTTCTCAGGTATAAACCGGAAGGTACAATTGACTTACTACCCTCATGGAATAAAAGCTTCTAATGAGGGGCAAGGTAAGATGTAGTCCACCTTACTATTACCTCTCAGATCTTGTGTTCTTTTTATTT